AAAAAAAAAAAAAAGGAAGTAAATAGCAGGCCAAGAAACAATTAAGAATTTGAGCCAAGAATATAGCCTAAAAAAAACCACCTTCAACTTTTCTCCTTCATGGATGGACCCAACCTTTTAAGAATGTGTATGGTCAAGTGACCAATTTTCACTTTAATTCCCCACAGCAAAATATAATAATCATCATCATCAAATTAGTTGTCTACATATTTTGAAATAATGAAGTATTTTATTACATGAATATCTAGTGTAATTTTTTTCTTGTGATAAAAGAGCTCACATATATAAATTCTTCCAAGATTCAGAGTTTGATATTTAGCTTCTTTCTTCCAAAACATGAAAAGGGAAGTAAGATTAAGCATGAATGTAAGTTCTTTATTTAAGAAGTGTATAAAATGCTATAATTACCTGCAAAGCAAGCATTATGAACCCATCTGATATCACAAGGAGATAAAAATAAAAAACCCCAACCCCTCAAACTCTAACATTTCATTAAAAAGAGTTAATACAGTCTGAGACCACACAGGCTGGAATCCCATAAGTCAAAATTGTATACTTACTGAAACATGTTGCTGTAAGACATTATTAACATTGTTTTGGCATTTTGCTTGTACTTTTAACATACCTAAACTTAATTTTATGTTAAATATGAATATCTCGGGTTTATCTATTCAAGAACTCTAATGTTTTTACTTGCAAACATGAGAGCAACAACATGATTCCTAACAAGACATGACAGCTTAGTATGTGCAATGACAAAACAAGACTGATAGTAATCACATTACATGATAGCATGTACAGAACACAAACCCATAATTCATATTTTTTCAAACTGCATAAATCTGTATTTACAGACTGCACGTTACTTTTATTTAAAACCATATACCTTGTCTAAATGAAGTTAAGTCTTTACTACACCAAGAGTAGAAAATTTGGATTGTTTTTTTTGTCAGCAGCGATAGTTACTGTGAAATTGTGATGTTATTGCACATTTAACTTTTTTATTAAGATGGCAAAAAAATTTAGCTGAAGACTAGCTCACTGTAAACTAAGCTGTCCCACCCTGTACAAAGATTTCAATACATGAGATAATTGCCTTTTCGAGAAGTTAATAAACTGTGGACCTACTGGAAGAGATCTGCATTAAAAGTAAAAAATAAAAGGCTGCATTCAGAATAAACAGAAATAACAAACGTTAAACATACAGACACACATGCACAAAAAAGCTACTTGTTATTTTCATACATTTTTCCTAAAACAACTTCAGCATATATTTTGTGTTTCTTAGGGGTTTTTGGTGCATTGCACTGGCATTTCATAATTTTATTCCCCCAAAACACACAACTTCTAATGATTCTTTTTCATTATTTATATCCTTTTGTGCATAGGTGATTTGAAAAAACATTATAATTGTTAGGTAAACCAATATGACAACGTTCTGGGTTCGTGCGTGTGGTGGGGTTTTTGGTAGCGGGAGAGGGGCCTACAGCAGTGGCCCCTGGTGCGAGAAGCTTCTCGAAGCTGCCCCAGCTCCAAGTTGGACCCACCTCCGCCACAAGGATGAGACAATCAGTGACGGTGGCTGCGCCTCTGTGATAACATATTTAAGAAGGGGAACTGCAGAGGAGGAGTGGGAGTTGTGAGGAGGAGACCTATGCAAATGCTGTGGTCAGTGGAAGAAAGGAGGAGGAAGCGGAAGGTGTGCACTGGTGCAGAGACTCCCCTGCAGCCTGTGGTGACAGTGCAGGCTGTCCTCCTGCAGCTCATGGAGGTCCATGGTGGAGTAGATGTCGACCTACAGCCCGTGGAGGACCCCACGCCAGAGCAGATCACTGTGCCTGAAGGAGGCTGGGACTCTGTGGGAAGGAGAAGCCCCGCTGTTGTAGTTGGGCCCTGGGAGGATTGAAACACGTGGGAGGGACACACGCTGGAGTAGCTCAGGAAACGCTGCAGCCCGTGGGAAGGACTGAAGTCAGAGAAGGTTTGTGGAGGACTGTCTCCCATGAGAGGGACACCATGCCGTAGCAGGGGAAGAGTGTGAGGAGTTCCCCCCTGAGGAGGAAGGAGCAGCAGACTGACTAACCCCATTCCCTGACCCCTGCACCACTGTGGGGAGGAGGTGGAGGTATCGGGAGCAGAGCTGAGCCCAGGAAGAAGGGAGGGGTGGGGGGAAGGTGCTTCTAAGATGTGGCAATGCTTCTCACTGTCCTATTCCGTCTGTTAAGTGGTGTTGTTAGTGTCTAAATTAAATTTATGTTCTTTTTCTTCCCCTAAGGAGCTTGTCTTGTGCCCATGACTGGAATGGGTGAGTCATCCCTCCCTGTCCTTATCTCTATTCCTAAACATTTTGCTTTATTTTCTCCTCCCCAGTCCTGAGGGGGAAGGAGTGAGTGAGCAGCTGTGTGGTGCTCAGTTGTCCTCTGAGCGAAAACCACAGCCTATTTTTAACAGATAAAAAAATAAATTTGACTAAACAGTAATAATTTTGGAAATATTTGCTCAATTTCTTAACATCCATGGTAGGAAGAACATTCAGGATGAAGTCTGTTTCAGACTCAATTATTTGCTTTCTTTTTTATAAAGCCTGCATCACTCAGCCTTGTTTCCACTGTTGGCCACAGTTTGAAAATTTTAAGTGGTGGAACAACACAAAGAAACAAACTGCTACATATCAGGACTAGTTGATGCGGGTACTCAGAGGGACTAATGTTGTTTGGATGTAAACAACTTCACCTGGCTTTGAGGTAGAAATTTTATAGTTTTCTTACAAAACATTGTTAAGTTTTACCTTTAACACTTTCTACTGATATTAATCATCTGCAATGCATGTTGGTTGATATGACACTACTAAAACTACGCACCCAAGGCGTAACTACTTTGAGACCGTAACTACTTGGCAGCAGTACTACTTGGGAGAGAATGAGTAGGAACAGGAAATTTTAAAAGAAATTCATTTGAAATTAGCCTGCCAAGGGGCTATCATATTGGAAATTTAGAAAATTTACTACATGTTTACACAGTTAAGTCATGTTTCCTCATAGTATTTTTGTATCTTTCATATAATGATACGACAACGCATTAATATAATGCTAAGGCTTATAAATTATCTAGAAATGTTTTATATGTTTTCTGTTACATTAAGAGAGACCAGTGGGTTTCTCATAAATAAAAAAATCACAAAAAAACCAAAAGAAAAAAGCAAACCCAAATATAACCCAAACCGAACACTCGCTGCCTTCTTGGTCTTCAATTTGAAATTTAAACATACGATGTGGATGCAGACATCAGAAAAAAGAACTATCAAATGATTACTTTTGATGCACCTACAGATGATCCTGCCAGGTGAAAGACATCTGCAGTTTGGGGAAGCATTCTCAATTACTCTCATCTGTAACTAGACTATTTTAAACTCTCTGCATGGAACTTCACAACTATCAATAAATTCAGAGAGTTAAATGCAAAAACTATTCTAGGAGGAAACTGCATCAAACATGCAGAGTAATTCAACATAAAAAGTAAACAACTGGAGAACTTGTTTTCTGTTTAATTTTAAGGTGTTTGTTTCACCTTTGGGATCTGCACTCAGGGAACAGGATTAGTTCAGTTTTCACTTAAGTTGAGGCTCACATCGACTCAGCTGTTAGTGAAATTCTTTTGTTTTAGTTCTAACAAAAAATGGTCAGCAGAGACAAACTGGTTTGGACCAATTCATGACATGGGTTTTGGTTTACTGATATAAGAAGGGAATTTGGGGGAATAGCAAAGAAAAGAGAGAGAGGAGAACAGTTTTGGAGGTGGAGTGAGAGGACTTCAAGAGATGCATGGATACCAAGTTTTCTATGGAAATAATGGTTTCAGAATGAGTGATAATGCAGGACAATTTAGGGGAGTTGTAGATTCCTTGAAAGGAATCTCATCTTCTCCTCTCTTCCCTGTCAGAGAACTGAAAGGATATTTTCAGAGAACTGTTGATATGATGACTCTATAATAATCTTTCTGACCAGGTCATTGGCTAGTTAGGTCCCATCACTGCATACATATAACTTGTGTTGTTTTTCCTTACATCCATTATTTTTGATCCATTAATGTTGCATTCTCTCCGCAAATCCTTGGCACATCATTCAGCAGCTCTGGGAGATCATTTAATGGCTGCTCATGGTCAGCTTTTGGTTTTATATCTTCAGTATTTTGTAGCTTCAGCAAACTTTTCGTATTACTATTCACCCATTTTTCAGATAATTTGTGTATGGGACTCCTTCTGTAAACTTCATTTATTTCTATCCTTTGTTTTGGGCATTTAATCTGCAGACAGATTTTCTCTCATATTCTATTACATGTTAGTCTCTTAAGATTGTTTAGAGAGAAGTCTTGACAAAAGTCTTTTAGGAATCCCCATATAGAGCATTTATGTCTAAATGGTAAGATTTTGCATACTTTTTGGTCTGAAAGTGTATTCCAGTAGTATACTGACTCCTTCTTGGATGAAACTCTTGTCTGGATGAAATCTGTGCTAGTACTGTTCCGTTTCCTCTCCCCAAATCTTATTTTGGAGTTGAAAAGAAACACAGCTATGTGTACTGGAAAGGAATTGAGCAATGTTTTGTCCAGGTTTTTGGTCTCAATAACTGGGGAGTAGTGCGAGACCCTGGGGCATACTGTGGCACATGCAGGCCTTGCAGATTACATGTGTATCAATTCCATCACCTTTATCTAAATACTTGTAAAATGCTTGCGAAAGCTAAACACTTTGCAAGGCATGTCTGTTGTATGCATAAGGAAAGGAAGAACAATGAGACTAAGTCGTGAGAGAGAATTTAGCAACTGAGTGTACAACTGAGAGCTTCCCCAGTGTCTAACAGACAAGATCATCTGTGTTTCTGAAAACACACACAAAAAATCTCAACAAATCAAACCAAATTAAAGCAATTTTTTCCCATGGTTTAAGGCTGAGAGAAAAAAAAAATGCAGTTACGGTAATAATGCTAAAACAGGAAGATTACCTCACGGTGATTTAGAAGTCTCTCCAAATCTGCTGCCATTTGATTCTTGACACGCAGCAAAGCTGTCTTTTCTTTATTTAAAAGACTAGTAAAAAGAGGATAGGAAATGCAATAATAGCAACAGATAATCTCTTTTAATCTTGTATTCTGGCTGAAACACACATTTTTTTAAAGCTAAATACTGGCAACAATTAAAATCTGCTCAAGTAATTGTATCAAATGATCCTTCTCTATGTTCAAGCCTCAAAATTTTTATAAATGGGCCTGAATGTGCTGACACCTACAAAATCTTATTTTAGTCAAATAGAAACACTATTAAAAATATTGATAAATATTTTGGGTTAATCAATTTATTGGGTTTTTTAAAAATTATTCTCTGAAGGGTAATTTATCAGAATCTTTTATTATTGTCTCTTTGTTTCTTCTAGGCAAAATAAGCTCTTTTTATAAGCAAAGACCCTTTATTTCTACACTTTTATATCAAAATGTGGATTTCTGTGTTGTATGTAGCACCAGTAGCAGCACACAGTGTTCTCTCAGTATCACCTATTTTTATACTATTGTATGTAGTACTTTGAAAATAACAAACACAAGGAAGAACAATATCCAGCTCTCCCTTTTAGCTGTGTAGTTTCTGAATAAATTATAAATGTGTTTTTGCCATTTTTTATTTTATAATCCAGGATAATGCACAGGATCAAGTTTGTCCTGTGAACCAAGTATAAAAACTGTTTTAGCGTGAAGACATGCTTCTATAGCACAATGTTGAGTTTAATTTTAATTGTTTGTTTTCCTAGTCATAGAACATGAACATTTGAAATGTTCAGCATACACATGTTGATTCCAGGCAGCAATTCTAATATAATTAAATGTATCTTCATATTTAGACCCAACATCAGTTTCCAACAATAAACTTCAGACTAATGCATGCATAATGCCAGTGTATAATCTAGTTTGTTAAAACAGCCATAGAGATTTTCTTGGAAGATCAATGTTATATATGCCATGATCATGATTTAACTAAATAGGTTGTACAATATAAACTATAACATAAATCAAAAACTACGCAAAATGCAATTCTGCATATGGAGTGTAAATATGTGATACTGAATACAGGTCAGGAGTTCAAAAGCAAATGCATTAAAATTTTATAAATGGAATGAAGCAATTACATATGTTGTAAACACAAATTATTTAATATTCCCACTATTTAATCCAGAAATGATCAACAAAATAAATCAACCTTTTCTTTAATTCGCTGTGTATCATCTGCTTGTTTCAAATAAGCAACATCATCCCTTGCCCTAGAGATTTTCTGGCAGCTCCTTGCAAGCTCTGTACTGTAAATTATGACTGTTAATTCCTTCTAGGCATTCATTAAATCTCAGAAAAATTGTATGCTTTGGCCAAATTACTTAGCTTTCTGAGTTATTTAAAAGGAAAGTAGTAACATTTATGAAAAGCTACAAAGATATTTTAATATTTTCAATAATTTTATTTTCTGTGACATTTTTAATCATGATGAAATTGCTGTACTATTTTTTTCCTGCGTTCATGTGTTATAATTTACTGATATGTCAGTTTTTCTTGGATTTCTGTACTTCCTAACAGCATAAAGCAATCCTGTTAGAGAATGACTCACAAACTTATTAGAGGAATAATAATAAAAGTTCCTTTATGCCTTAAAGAGCATACTGAATAAGCATAAACATCAGTGTTCATGACTAAACCAGAAGTTGATGTTCAAGGTTCGATTTAATCTACACAACAGAACTTATTATAGTTATATCTTCTGAAACAACACGACATTACTGATCCATGTGTCATAATTTTCTTTGTTTATGGTCAAATATAGGAATTAGACTGCTACGTCATTCAGTAGCACTTGATGTGTTCTCTTTCACATGTATCAAAGAATTAACAAAGCACATGCAGACTTCAGATTTAGTAGTTTTGCAATAGTTATGCTTTTTCATCATTGCAGATAGAAGGAAATAATTCATATACTTCTGAAAGAATACTGAAAAAGAGGCATATATACATTTCACAGAGCAAGAAAACAGTTTCCAGATACGACAATAATAAATGCACACCTGTAATGACCAAGTAAAGCAAAAATACCTTCAAAAGTTCAATTTTGGAAAGAAGACTGACCATTCCAGTCCCTGCTATGAGAATATTCTCAATGGGCATCTTGGATATCAGCAGTCAAGGAGGTTCTAGCTTTAAACTAACCTATACTTCCACCAAAAGCTAATTTAAACTAATCCAGTTTTAATTGGAAATGTAACAAATCAGAGAGCAGCTTTACAGTTAATTTCAGCTGACCTAAGTGAAAACTTGATGAAAGATCACCCTCCCCTAACCACAAATTGGTAACCTGCTCTCTGCATTGGTACTAGAAAATTTCCAACCAGATCAGTAGGCCACTTCACCGATCTGGATGAAAGCTGGAGTCTTTTTAAAGGTAATTTTTCACGTGGACCACCAAAACAACTTGATTTACCATGTGCAGTGGAAAGGCACAGCTGAAGGTAAGGATGAGACTGCTGCATTTAGTGACAGAGTGCCTCAACTGTCTTACTATGATTCTGAAATCACAATATATGAGTCTAGACAAATCAGTTTCTCACACCTGAGCTCGAGTTATAACTTTCATCTGAAGAGACGAGATCTCCTTGACCATCTTTAACCACAGTTTCAAGTTTTCATGATACAGAGATGTATTAAAGTACTAAAGTAATAAACATTAAAAGGAAATCTTCCAATGACTTGGTCTGGGGTGAAAAAGTGAACACTTAGGAGAAATTGATTGTGTCAAAATGATCTAATATCCCTGGAGTTATCGAAGAGCACGAACGGCTGTTTTCACACTGCAGGGCAAGTGCAGACCATGCTGTGCTCCACAGTCCTCGCCACTGATCGCTCCATCCTGAGCGTGGGGTAGGTGCCCTTTGGGATACATCATGGCCCCAAAGTCTGGGTTGGAGAACTAACTGAAAAGCAGTGCAGCTCCGCTGTGTGTCTGGGTTTCCAGAAGAAAACAAAATGCCTGGGAAGAGATTCAGTTTCATTCCATCATGCTTTCAAAACCTGGCCAGGTATGAATGCAGGTACCAGGAATGCAGGACTTGCCATGGAATACACGTGTCAGACACATACACATTGCTCATAGAAACCACTGGCTTGTTTTGTTTCACTTTACTCAGGATTTAAAGCCAAAGTAGCCTAGACATCATAAGAAAGACATTTTTAGGTGACTTGTTTTTTTTCTGAAGAATGGAGACTAACATTCCCCAGTCAGACTTTTAAAGCCTTTTGAATTTAGGCAATTAAGCCATCTTTTAAATCTCTGGTCTAAATATACTAGCTACTATCTTGTTGAGAAGCTTTTACTATTAGATATTCTGGATAACATGTTTATGCTGGACACACTAAATAAACATGGCTTTATATATTACTGTTTTTTATTATTACATCTATTCAGTTTGAAAGAAAGTAAGTTTCTTTTTCAGTGAACTGTGAACCCCAAATGCTATAAGGCTTGTGTCTTTCTGTTCATTTTATGTTACAGCATGATGAAGTTGAAAACTGAAGTCCAATCTTGATTTTTTTTTTTTGTGCATTTTATGTTCATATATAAATATTACCATGAAAAAAACAAACACAGAAATAATATATGTGAAGGTTTTGTATGTAAAACTGAATATATAATATAGGCATATAGTGCAGCTATCCCATGCCTGCAAATTACAGATTAATAGCTCAGAGCAGACAGCTGATTTTTAAAGTCTAAGTCAAGTTTTCTTTTTAAGTCATGTAGTTAGGAAGGTATAAAAAACTCTGCAAATAGAAGTGTTTTAGAAGAGAAACTGCATGAAAAATTTCTGATCTCTCATTGAGCAGCTAAATAACCACAGATTGGATTTTTAAAGGCATTTGGGAGTATTGCTTAATGATTTTAATTGGGAGTGCTTCAGGTGGCTTAAAAACTCTACTGTGTAGTGTCCAAATTGAAAAAAAAACCCAACTTTTTCAAACTGTAAAAAAAAAAAAAAAACAAACCAAAAACAAACAACTTTTTAAAAGCTGTAATACAGGTCAGAAAAAGTTCATTTGTAGAAAAAAAAGAAGTGTATTTCTACAAATTTTGTTTGGAGCATTTCTCAGGTAAACTGCAGTAGTGTTGGAATAGATGATGCATATTTCACAGAATGGTAATGTTCTCATAAAAAGCCCATTGCCCGTTCTGTGATGGTAAAAACCCAGCTAACACTGTGTGCTGAGCTTTATAATGTTTGGATGGCAATTAGAGAACTCAAAATGTTTAGGTAAGGAACATTTCAGTACATAGCTTCTTAGTGAGCAAAATCCTTGTACTGCTTCTAGATTTGCCACACAGTTAGGCTTTTGAGGAGTGCTTTTGGGTAAGCGAACCACTTTTAAAACCAGCCACTGGTACAGAGAAATTTGAGTAACTGCATTTAAAATAAATACCCTCTCTTTATGAATGAAGTCCTGTTTAATGTCTGCAGTTATTTATAAAACTAGATGTTTTTAGCAGAAAATTATGTACTAAAACTACAATAATTTCACTACACACATAAGAATGAAATTCAGAGATTTGTTTTCCCACAGCATGACACAGTTACAAGGCATTTCTTTTCAAAAGGAGTGCTAAATGTGATGTTTTCATTTCTGGTTAAAGAACTGTATGCTAGAGAGATTTCTTTATAGTAGGAAGGAGTCATCCTCATACACACAACTGCTCTTATTAACCATCGCTTTTTACTTTTATTAATGAGGGTGCTATGTGGACTAACATAAATGAGAGGTTACTTAACAGAATATTTTGAGATACGCAGACCACCTGTAAATTCACCCTGCAGATGCCCTGTCACTCAAGACCAGAGGTTTTGTATCTGGAGCCTATCTGCAGGTGCATGGCTCAGTGCACAAGCACACGAAGTGTTCTGCTCCCAGGGCCACCTCGGTTGTCTCCACAGCCAAGTGCCAGCACAGCCCATGGCCTGCCTGGGAGAATTCTAAGGGGCTGAGAAGGAGAGTGGTAGTGAACATATGTGTGGGCAACATCTGACAGCTGCGATCACCCAAAAAACAACCTCTCCTTCTATCTCTGAGTGGCAGTACACTTATGCCTTCACACTTTAATCTAAGCTGTAATGTCACACACCTGTAATAACCTAGAGATGGGTCCCTAAGTTGTTCATGCAAATAACTAACAGCAGTGACAGCTGCTCAGCTAAGCATTTACACCAACCACAGTAGCTCTTGCAGTTCTTAGTGAAGGAAGGGCTAAAGATCCACAGACCTGCGTGAAAGATACCCAGAACAGACACACTTCTCAGCAAGACAAAGTATCACCTACTCTGGTGGAATATACTGCTTTAAGGCCTTGATTGAGACTGGTTGAGACTTGGCTATTCCTCTCCTTTTAAGGAGAGGTTGGATGGGGCTCTGAGCAACCTGATCTAGTGGAAGATGTCCTCACCCATGGCAGAGGGGTTGAAATTAGATGATCTTTAAAGGTCCCTTCCAACCCAAACCATTCTATGATTCAGTTTGACAGCTAGTGACGCAAGCAACCTTGAGTACTATTTGAATAGTCCTCCCAAGTGAGGAAGACATTTTGATACGGAAGGTCTGAAAGGCAGCCTTATCTCTAGAGGTATGATGCTTAAGGGTGAGGGCATGTAAGCCGGTCTCGTTAAAGTTAACTTTGAAGACCACCTTGGAAAGAAACTTAGATGGATTTGCAGGACTTCAAGAATGTTATATCAAAATGATCTGCCTCAATCTCTCCCATGCCTCTTGTGGAAATAACTGCTGTCAGAAATTATGCTTTTCTAGAATGATGAAATGTGGAGAATCCTGAACGCATCTGTCTCCTGTCAAGGGACCACATAAGTCACTTTAGGCCGTTTTGTGAAAAATCGGTAAAAAATATGGCACAAGAACATGAACAAGGAGATTGCTGTCATAGATAGCCTTCCTCATAGTTGCCTTCCTCTTGTGCTGATTTCATCACAACTAAGTATTTCATCACAGAATCAAAATCACATCCAGTAGCAACCAACATCCTTCTCAATAGACCAGGAAATACAAAACACTGCAGGTTGCTGAAAAACATTTATAAAAAGTACGGATTCATCATCCTGGGAAATCTGCTGGAACTGAACCACCCTAGGAGTATGTTCTAAAAAGATTATTAGCCATCATCACTGTGCATAGAAGCCAATTATGGATTAAGTCTAAAAAAGTAAATTCAGTTGCAAATTAGTCCTTGCTGATCCCTCCACACTCAAGTTAAGTGAGAGGTGATAGGGGACCCTGGCACTAGTAACACAGATGTGACTGCTTTACCTAGGGAATCCATGATTTACATAATGCAGAACCACCTCCCTTGATGAACAGATGAGATAAAAAGACAACATGAAAAGAACACTCCTCTGCCATACATTCTGCACACTAAACACGAAGGGAGGAACAGCATGATCAAGCATAGGGCAGATGTGAGGATAAAATGAACTATTCAGTCTTGATTGTTGGGGGCAGGCATATCAACATTATGTTAATTTGTCTACAAACTGGTACTCAAATTTGAGATGTAAAAAAAAAAAAATTAAAAAAATTACTAGTATTTTTAAAGGTCTGTCTGAAAACAAGAGTTTGAACATTGTTTTTCCATTAGCTGGTACTTATTAAATTGCTTTTTAGAAATAAAACTAATGCATGAACTCTATGTAAAATTAAAAAAAATAACAATGTACTTAGTGTAACTGTAGCATAAATTAAACATCAACTTAAAGACGATACTGCAGAACTGCAGTATCAACTAATAAATATAGGTAATGGTTGAAAAAAGATTCATTTTTAAAAGGCTTTACAAATATCAGCTTTTTCCTTTAGCTCTGAGATACAGAGAAATCAGACTTCATAAACCATGTTTAGTGTTTTCACTATTACTTTTCTACTAGCACCAACATTATCTGCAGAATTTAGGGCCCTCCTTGAGGAGCATTAATTCTCCGAACTCATCCTCTCAAAAATACTCCACACACAAACGAACCAAATGCTGTTGATTAAACTAAGACAGATAGGAATAGCGGTTTAAATCTTTTTATCCAGCAGAGCTTCATTTGGCATATATTTGTTAGGGATTATCATTAATTTACTTGAATCCTATTCTGATTCAGTTCTGGAATAGCTGGCAGCTAGACTGGTCCATAAAGTAATCTGAAATCACCAAAGGGATATTTTAACTTAAAACTGGAATGTACATTTCTGGAATGTAATGATTCTCTGGTTAGAAACCCCTTCCTCTAACCTTCTTCTTGCTTATGGGAAAGCAAAGGACCAACATTATTAACTTTATATCAGATTATGATTTATTCTGTGCTCTAGGAAATATCAGATAACAATTTAGGTCAGTTGTTTTAAATATGAAGTTATGAATAGCAAAATTAGGGACTACTGATACATACACAAGAGCCTTAAGACACTAGGCTCTTTCCAAGAGTTTCACTTGCCTATGAAAGTACAGCAAACTTGAGGCAAACTTGTGATAAGGGAATAATATTTTTAGTTTACAAGGAATATTGAAAACTACAGGAAAAAACTTCTTACCAAAGCATTTATTGTGCAAATTAAGTGTTACTTTCTTGCTACAAAACCACTGAGGATAAAAATAATTTTTTGGCAGACCACGCTTTCATTTACAGAAACATGGAGTAGTGGTGAGCGCACCCCACCTCACCACAGTAGGGAGTACTGCTGGTATGTTTACTGTGAATGCTCATACTGTGGTGGAGACCCATCTTCCTCCTTAATCTCAGGCGCTTTAAGATGCCAAAAATTCCCTTTATAGTTAATGGAGAGGCATGGCATCTCTAGCAGATGACTCACTCCATCCAAAATCTGAATTGCATTCTGGAGATGCCACTTCCTCCGTGGACAAGTAAGGAAAGCTGACTTGACTAAATTCCTAATTTAGGTGTCTTAATTTGTAGGCTAAATTTAAGAAGAGTATCTGGGCATACAGATGATTTGTAATGAGCCATAAAAACTCAAGAGAATCAATGCTAATAATGCATTTAACTTCTTATATATTTTAAAGGCATGAAACATATACTTTCAGAAATGATCTCAACTATTTACTTCCTTTTTTCCCCTAGCTTTTGAGAGACTTTTGGACTACTATGTGAATAATGAAAGACATTTTCATGTCACTGTAATCTAAAAATTTAATTTGCTAGCGAGTAATTCTCTGATGATTTTTTTCACAATTGGAAAGTAAGATCCTGCATTTAGAAGTACATTGTGATTTTTCATCTCCTGGAAAAATATAATTTACCTTTGAACTTTCTGTTATAACATATCAAGTCTGGGAAAACATTAATACCACTTGATTCTGGAATAAAAAAATATAAAACCTATTCTTACTGAATCAAAGTTAAGCTCAGTGAAAGATATCTTCTCAGGAAGTATAAACGAGTATTTCAGTTTATTTATTTTATTGATTTACGTATAGATTTATTTGGATAATAAGCATTTTTAGGTATTCCTCAAGGCATAACAAATACTATCCCAAGCCATCAAAATACTCTGAATAGGTACATTCGTAAGACAGTATGTAGTATAAAGTATTTAGCTATGGTGAGTCCTACTTTTTCTGTTTTCATTGCTTCAGCAGATTTGTTAGGAAAAAATGTGGTTTTCATGTAATTGCTTCATAGTACAATCACATTAATGCTTCATAATTGTTACTGTATGTATTTCCTAAATCAAGATACCACATAAATACCTAATAATTAAAATGCTAATTCTTCTGTAGTGCAGTGGGACACAGCTATTGACTTTTTTGAAAAGCAAGGGGCAGATTATTTCGTAACAGCTTACTTGGAAACCAGATGTTAAACATAGCTTATAAAACTATATGATGGTGGGAAGTTGCTCAGTGGTCAGAGTTCTGGCAGCTGGATATAACACCAAATCAGAGAGTCTCCACTAGAGGAAGTCTGCTCAAGTTATGCCTGAAATACCCTTTGCTGGAAGACTAGTCCATTATTTTTCTCTGACTTTACTACTTTATCTTTACTTTTATACATCTGGTGTGTCATTCTTTCCTTTTACTCTTCTAAACCTTCCTCTACTTCATGAGAACTCTTCTCAACTCCAAATTAACTTTAAATATGACTGTTGTTGCTGTTTTTTGAAACCTGAAGCCTCTTTTTCTAACAGTGTGAAAGAAATCACAGATGCTAGAATTCCAGCATAAAGACTGAACTTAGTCAATGATAGAGTGTCAACATCTCCTACTTCAGGGACAATAACATAGCTGTTTTCCAATGATAAACACATAAGTGATTTTACTTTCAGCTTAAAATAAAGAAACAGTGATTTTAATTACCTGACATCTTTTTCAAGTTGTGTAATATGTTCTTTCTGTAGACTTATTTGAGAATCTCTCTGTTGCACGGTTTCAATGAGGTATTTGTATGGCTGTTGTACTTGACTCAACAAAGAATTTGCTCTGTCAAGCTGCCAAAAAAAGAAGTATTACTACTATAAGTTTTATCATTTATAAAGCACAATTACTTATTATTGATACTATTGATTATTATCAATGGCATAATAACATAAACCCCAAACCTGTTATTTCACAAAAGAAATGAAACAAACTACCATCTAGCACATTATCCTTTCACTTTCCTGTCCTAATTATACACTATTTCACTGCAATCATATTACTGCTTTCTACACTTCCCTAATCTGCATTTTCAAGGGTTTTAATGTAACAGCTTCCATTGACGAAAAAAAATAATATAGTAAAGGCCTCTTCTTGTTCACAAGTGACTTTTGTAAACCAGTATACTATTACAATGGAATTTTCAGCTCAAAAATTGAATCTAAATAAAAACACAGTAATAACAGAAGAAAAGTCCCCTTTCTTCTAATCAATTACTGTATACAAACAGTGAAATCCAACAGGATGTTTACAAGAGTAACATAAAATATCTGTTATACCCATAAGTAGGAACTAAACCTTTCTAGCCCTATTCCTCGAACAAATTAGGGTCACTGGGCTTAAAAAGCTTGCATGATATGGCTTCTATCTTCAGCAATATAACAAGATCATTCACTAAAACATATACAGAATTAAAATCACACATCAAGATTTAGCAGTTTCGGCAGCTAGAGTACATGTAAGTCAAGAATAACAACTAGATTCTTTAAAAAAGAAATTAAAATGTTCTAAAGTTTAGATACAAACAAGTCTAATAGAATGAATTCAATGGAAAATGGTTAAACTTTCCAAGTAGTTTATAAAATTTCTCAATAGATTAAACAATCTGCATTTGCCAAATCAGAATAAGGAGCCAGCTGTCCTATTTTGTGTTGTTCCAAACAAGCAGGGAAAAAACCCCAGCCCCTTCCTATAGAACTAGCCCATTTAAATAATACTTCAGGAGTTTTCTAAAATCAGATTTTTCTCCTATTCACAATTTAAAAAACATGAGACTGTTTCCATCTTTCATTGATTCCAATGTATTTTTATTGTAGTTTTACTTCTGACCTTGATACTCTGTCAAATGAGCAAAGAACTTATAATGTACACATCTATTGAAAAACAGAATATGGTTCACATTTATTAAAAAACAGAATATAGAAAAAACTTTGCTTGCTCACCTGACTGGCCTTACTAAAAGGGCAGTTAACTCTACCTTATGTTTTAAGAAGTGAAATTAAAGAAAATAACATTGCACTTCTTCAAATTAATGCAAATCCTTAAGTATTATTTAAATACATTAGTTCCTTCAGGAAATATCTATTCTAGTCCACAGTGAAATTCCAAGTATATTGTAAAGAAGTAAAAAACAAAAAGGCAATCATCTTCTTGCAGAAACTAATTGATAAGCAGATAAAAAAGCTATTATTTTTCTAAGAGTACAAGTTATCAAAAAACATCAATTTCAGGAAGACAATAGAGAATCTTTACACAACAAACACGTAATTTCAAGACAAAGTACTGATTTTAGGATGGCCTAAAAATAGCAGTATAAAACCTTGAGGCTGCCATTTTAGGAGAAAATTAATCCAACTGATCTTGTTTGGAATTCTGTTCTTGATAGCCCAAGAACTTTCAGAGGCTGCTGTCATCACAGTGTAAAGTTCCTCATTGTTCTCACTGATAAGAATTGAAGTACTGCAGTGGGAAAGGACAAGTGAGGTGGTGTAAACTTGGTTTGAGGCTGCTAAGTCATCTGTTAACTTGCTAACTTTACCAGCTAAAAAACATGCTGCTGTTATGAGAAAAGACTCTCTTCCCTCTCCATGGTGGTGCTTTGCTGCCTGTTTGATTCTATGAACTTAAAAGAGGTTGTCACTAAACTGTAATCAATTAAGCAATAAGTGTATTTAACAGATCAATTTTACTAATGCACACATGTGTATATAAATGAAGCATTATCCTTGAGGAAAAGCAATATTTTTTGTAAGCAACTTTGATTTCATTCTGCCTTAATGTAAAAGATTTACTTAAGTATTTCTGTGTCATTTTTTTAAGGAATACATCTAATACCTTGCAATTGGATGTTTACTATTTATCCCTGAATGAACATCCCCATCAAGCTGAAGGATTTAATCATTGTTCAGTTTGATCTATGCTCTCTTTTTCAGAGTGAGGTGTAAACCTGCTTTTAGTAAAAATGTTTCAATCAAGGCATACAAAAAGCACAAAATACGTCATGACGAAGGCTTGAAAAAGTCATTCAGCAGCAAGACAAATATATCAACTTAGTAAATGTCTTTATTTAGGATATCACTTTTACTGTATACTGATTCAGTATTTGCTTTTTAAGTCACTCAAAGACCATATTAGCCTTCTAGACACAAGAAACTGTCTATCCATTGCTTCTGGCACTGTTGTTCAAAACCTCTGCAAAGTGAATTAATTCCAAAATTTAAATTGGACACTGAATGTAGTAATTGTAGATCACTACTTTGCATAAGCTGATATATAGACTTCCACTTACTTTAACTGAGAGTAACATCAAGTGAGTTGCAGAGGCAATAAACTCATTATCACTAGCTGAGGATCTTTCTTGGATCAGGTCATGAGAATTCCTTCTGTTTGCTCTAGACATGGTGAACAAACCTTCTGTAGTACGAAATGTCTCAATACCTACTTTAACATTGCAGGTCACTGCTATACAAAGCAACAGAAAGACGACTTTAAGGGAGAATTCTTTTATAAGACCTGAAAATAGATAGGATCCTGCAGTTAAATAAAGCCTGACAAACTATAATGGGACTAAGACTGACAAGCTTTTTTCAGCAGCTGAGCTTTTCCATCGGGTTCCAACTTTCAAGAAGGCACATTATAACAGACTTCCAAATAATGAATGAAATTATGTAGAAGTTGGTACTTTCTTCTTGGTAATGCTAGACTCTCCCAGAAGATCAATGTAATTCCTTTCTGGTTGACAACTGGTTGAGGATAGTCCAAAAAAAGATTCTTAGAAAGAGCATCCACTGTAGTTACTGCAATCTTTTTCTTTCCCTCCCTCTTTTAAAGAACTTAGAAAAACAGTTGTATCACAAATACTGCAGTGAAATACCTATATTTAATCCTAGTTCAGAAGAAAAATTGGTCCAAGAACTCTGGCACCAACTTTCAATCCATGTTCTAGATTTCATCTAGGTGACTGAACAAACTGTTAATCAAAATAATAATAATGGGCTACCTGAGCATGCCATAGTCTACAGGATCTCTGTTTTGCTCTTAAAAAAAAAAAAAAATAAAAAGAAATAATCAAGACAGACAGTAGCTTGGAGAAAAAAAAAATCCTTCTTAACTCAGGGGATGCAGTAAAGATAGCAAACAGAAGCTTAAGAACTTTAACTATATAAAAAAAGATAATAGATAGCAATCAGTATAAAATATGAGATACAGAACATTTACAAGAAGAGCTACAATTTCAAGGGGAAAGTTGATATGAGCAGGCATAGAACTCTTAGAATGAAAAAAATGGGAGCAAATAAATCCCAGAAACAGTACAACCCATTATGTCAGAGTTGTGGTAAAACTATATAATACTGAAAACACAGAAGTTTTCAATAAAATTTGTTTGTCCTCTGAAAAGAAATCAGATGACCAGTTTGTATACCATGAAAATGATGAACTGCTTCCCAGTCCACTAGTAACAAGTGTAAACTCTCTGTGTACATATTGAAGGATGGCAAGCAGAATGGCCTAAGTATTTGTTACCAAACAAAATGGCCTATAATCATATGCAAAATTTGAAAAATAAAATAAAGGACAAAAAAATCTGTTGAAGCATTCAGACCTGAATTCCAGACATGAGTTTAATAGAAAATAGGTCTTAAAATTTTTATTTAACCTCGTAAGTTTGATGTTAATAGGCTATCTGCAAGGCATTTAACTTCATACTGGATGACATTCTGATTTAAACTATATCATTATATGATAAAAGATCAAGAAAGGGCCACATGACATCTTGTGGGAAAATAAAAATGAGGTGAAGATGTTCTAGTGGAATTTTGTAGGAATTTGAACTCAGGTCATTGGTACTGAATCTTTCATCAGTGATCTAGAGGCAAATATAAAACCACGGTGGGTAAGAAGAAATGTACTGAAGTGAAAACCAGGAAGATTTAAGTGGGAAATAAAGCACAGACGTTATTAATGATAGTGGAAGAATAGTGACAGACAAAACTATGAAGGATAACATTGGATTCACAAATCTCTTGATGTTTTCAAGTCAAGAAGATTTTAAAGATATGTTTTAGTCAAATACAAACTACTAGGATATACCTAAGAAGAATCCATAATAAACTGTAGTATTGGTTATAAAAAATCCGTACTTCACTGTTCATGTAACTTTCACTGAAGTAATATAAAATCATGTATATACACATACAAAATACATAGAAGACATGCAATTTAAAAATATGTAGAAAATGCAAGTATTTGCACTATGAAGTACTTAGGAGTACTTCATAGTGCAAATATAATTTATAAATACCATGGCTTAAAAACCAAACTGCTAACCACATTCCTAAACCAATTAGCCCAGAAATTCCATATGCTGAAAATATCTAACAGCAAATCTAAAAGTCTTCTGGTTCCTAAGAGAAACATAGAAAACAATCTTAAAAATATTTTTAAAAATTAGTTTGCCCTAATTCTGGGAGATTTCAAACTGAGTTTTGTTTAGTGTTTGTTTTCCATGTCAATGTAATACGTGATTTCAGGTATTATATACAGAATTTTAAAAGTTCATGAAATTAAACTAATTTTAACAAAGTAAAAAAAAAAATCTAGCCTTTTTAGAAAACAGCTTATACTAAACATTCCCTACAATTGTATATTCAAAAGACTCAAGAATAAACAATTTAGAAAAAGATTTACAGCAATATCTTCAAAAGTGATTTAAGAGATGAGTTGTGCAAAAAGTAATGAAGTATTCATTGAACAATTAACTAGCAAACAGAACAAACTAGTTTGGCTAGTTGGTCTTCTGTTCAGAAATCAGAACGTTGTCTGTCTGGCTTACATTCTTGTTTTGCCTGTAAAGTAATTCCTCTTTAGATCTTCGTTTCAAAATACAATATAAACTTATTTGAAAAAAGTTTAACAGAGTTTTGGTTAATAAGAGGCCATTTTTTGACATCAAATAGATAATAAACACTGTTTAGAAAATATTCCATTTTATGAACAGCTGTTCTTCAATGTTTATAGTCTCTACAGAATTGATTTTTTGTAGCAGTAATTTACCTCTTGTGAAATCTGTGTTACTTGTTCCTTCTGATGTTCCAGATCTTTTACGAGCAACGAGTTTTGCTTTTCTAGCTGCAGTAACCTCCTTGCCAAATGAACACTGTGCCAATAAAAAGCAAGCTCAAGTTGAATTTTTTTCCAAAATATGCAAAAAAAATTTTCACATTTACACTTCAGAACTTGATTGCCTTGATTTTTCACCAGTGCTTAAATACTAATAAGCTACAGTGAAACATGCAGAATGGTTAGTTAGAAAAACAATTAAAATATTGCAAAATTTAACAGCACTGAGATAGCATTCCCACAGTTATGCCATTGTAATACTTTTTTTAAAGTAATTACCTATATAATTTGTACAATACTACACAATCAGAGTAATCATGTCAAAATGTTTCAACTAATTATGAGTCTTTACTTTTTAGCAACTTTAGGGAATTACTGTAATTGGCTTCTCCTTAAATATCATTAAAAAACCCTGCACATTAATATACATTTTGTAGTTAAACACTGAAAAATTTAGTATTTTATAATTTTCAAAACAGAGGAAAAATTGTTTCGTCTGACATTTAATATGCTAAATAATTAAATGTTATTGTCACTTTTTAAAAAAAACTTACACAGATCCACAAATTAACTTAGAAGTGAAGAGAAAGGATTATTGAATTACTTAACCTACTTAAAAAATTAGATCCTCAACCTAATACATGTTTCATGCCCAAAGTCAAATGAGTGACATCAATTCATCAGCACAGTTCCATAGGCAGCAGTGGGAAGATTCAGTGTGCAATTGCAGAGAATGCTTCCAGACATCTAACCTAGTCTTTCAAGATGGTATTAATCATTTAGTCCTATTCAATACAGTCTGTAGAGCCTCACTATATTCCACTAAAATGGACGCCTGGATGGTAAACTGAAATGTACTCCAAACTCCACAGGCTGTGTTGAAGAACTGACATCACCTACTTGGACTTGTGCAAAGCATTTGACACTGTGCCCGCACGACACCCTTGCCTCTAAATAAGAGAGATGTGAATTTGATTGATGTACCACTCAATGGATAAGAAATTGGCTGGATGGCCACACTCAAAGAGTTGTGGTCAATGGCTGGGTGTCCAAGTGGAGACTAGTGATAAGTGGCATCCCTCAGGGGTCAGTATTGGGACCAGTGCTGTTTAATATCTTTATTGGAGACATACAGGGACAGTGGGATTGAGTGCACCCTCAGCAAGTTTGCCCATGACACCAAGCTGTGTGCTGTGGTCGACACACTGGAAGGAAGGGATGTCATCGAAAGGGACCTCCACAGGCTTGCGAGGTGGGCCCCTGCAAACATCATGAAGTTCAGTAAGGCCAACTGCAATGTCCTGCACATGACTTGAGGCAACCCCATGCACAAATACAGGTTGGGTGATGTGTGCATTGAGAGCAGCCCTGCGGAGGAGGACTTGGGGGTGTTAGTGGATGGAAAACCGTGAGCCAGCAATGTGCGCTCGCAGCCCAGAAAACCAACTGTACTGTGGGCTTCATCAAGAGAAGTGTGGCCAGCAGGTCGAGGGAAGTGATTCTCCCCTTGGACCCTGCTCTTGTGAGACCCCAGCTGGAGTCTTGTGTCCCACTCTGGGGCTCCCAGCATAAGAAGGACATGGACCTATTGGAGCAGGTCCAGAGGAGGGCTACAAAGATGATCAGGGGACTGGAGCACCTGCCCTGTGAGGACAGGCTGAGAGAGCTGGGGTTGTTCAGCCTGGAGAAGAGAAGGCTTCAGGGAGACCTTAGAGTGGCCTTCCAGTACTTAAAGGGGTCTACAGGAAGAATAGGGCAGGACCCTTTCTCAGGGAATGTAGTGATATGACAAGGGGTAATGGTTCTAAACTGAAAGAGGGTAGATACAGATTAGATATAAGGAAGAAATTCTTTACTGTGAGGGTGGTGAGACACTGGAACTTGTTGTCCTGAGAAGCTGTAAATGCCCAGGCCTGGAAGTGTTCAAGGCCAGGTTGGATGAGGCTTTGAGCAACCTGATCTAGAGGAAGGTGCCACTGCCTATGGCAGGGGATAGGAACTAGATGTTCTTTAAAGGTCCCTTCCAACCCAAACCGTTCCATGATTCTATGATTACAACTAATTTGGTTATAATGGAAGGTTAGATGCAAAGTCTCCATGCTAAACCTAAGATTAGAGGTCTAAATTTATAAATCCTGCAATGAATCCTGCCATCTTTGTACGATTCAGCAGCTTGGTGGCTTATTATCACAATGGCATCTAGAGAATTTATCACTGTATCCTTCCATACGTAGGTACTTTAGTCACCAATCTATTTCACAACATGACATGGGAAATTCAGAACTCTAAAAATGAGGAAGATACACAGTGTTAATACCACTTTCTAGTGTGCCTTAACAGCTCTCCACAATGATCTATCCTTCTAGTCATGTGTGGCATTTTTCAGAAACTTGTATATTGAAGAAAGGGAGAAGTGACTCCAGTTCAGATCTTAGACTCTCAATGCATACCATCCATAAACTGAACACGTAAGACTGTTAGTCTCCAAATAATGTATAGCAAAGTGTTACTCAGTTCTTGACCATGATACTGAATCTGTAAGAGTGTAAGTGAGCTAAAGCAGACCAATAGGGAGATTATATTTAACCTTAAACTGAGGCTTAGAGTGTGTAAAACTAAATGAGTGTACAGACTTTCTGTGAAAATTTGACCAGTCATAACCTACACCTTCTCCTCAGTAAAAGGGAATACACTTTCAGATTTGGCAGAAGTCTTGAGATTCTTCAGCTGTGTTATAAACCTACACGTTCACAGAGACAATCTTTTACTTTCACCTTGTATGAGAGGAATTACCTGAAATTCTCAATAGCATTTATCAAGAGGTTGGTTCTCTCAGTTCCTCCTAGCATTAGACTGTGTAAACAATAACTGAAAATAGAGAAATTAATTCTCCAAATTAATTACTTGGATTTTTATTTAGGAGATAGGAGATGTGTGTTAAGATCTCATCTAGTAATAAAGAGAAATGAACCACTTCTCTGACTAGTTAGGGATCTTATACATTAGCTATTAGAGTGCAAGGGGAAACTTGGATATCTTCCCATGGCAACTTCAGGAATGTAGCACATGATAATTTTCCCAGCTACAACTATTCAGTGAACTTGACCTGGATTTGCAAGTATTTAAGGATAAACACGAGTATGTCTTTCAAATATGCTTGTCAATATGTTTTTTGACTAGTTTAAATTTAAAGCAAAGGGACAAAAGGACTGATCTGCAAAGACATCTGATTGACAGTCATAACACTTACTTGAAAACCAAATATGAAGTACAGAAGCAACAGTACATGGCCGCAAAGCTTTGTTGCAAACATGAACAGACCATCATTTGCCCTTAATTCTCATCAGTAACTTTTGATGTCAAGTATTCTTTGTCATGGAGAAGGTGGGGGTTGAGAGGACAAAAACAACTAATACTTGTAGTAAAAAAACAGCTATACATGACAAAAACTGCACTTCCAGAACCTGAATGCTAGAAATGTATACTGTGAAGCTATGGTACATGTTCACTCTATCTTTATACACTTCGTGTATCCACCAATGATGGTGGAGTTTCTCTTTCTGGTAGAAGACAGCATTGTCAAAGCCCACCCCTAACACAAATTACGCAGCTGACTTTCCTGCATTTGAGCAACTTGTAGGCATACTCAAAGTGCAAGGAATGTGTCTAATCCTGGGAGAACCACCATCCTAATTATGGTATCTCCTCTGCCAGGCTGGAGACAGGATTCTGGATAAAACAATCAAATCAAATCAAAATCAAATCAAATCAAATCATCACATTACTCTGACCCATGGTATTGTGAAGGACGTGGAATCACAATCCATTGAGAAAATCAAAACTTATCCAGACAAGCTCTTGAACAATTGGATTTGGTCTGAGCATGGTGTTGGACCCTGCTGACCTCCAGACATCCCACTATTCCATAATTTCAATCTTAGTTTATATTTTCTTTGTATACTACCTATACATATTTTGAACAGCAGCAACACTTTTGCTGTGGTCACAGTTTAAAAATCTGATAAATAAATCTACATTCCCTCTACTTCACAGTGAGTTGTAGCATTTATGCTCATATGAGCTATTCAAACGTCACTGTTATTTCTAAAAGACAATGCATAATAAAAACTTATTATTTAAAAATTACTATGTTCAAGACATTTGTTATTCAGCCAACATAATTTTTATCTATTGATCAAATGGTATCAGAGTAAACTGAAGAAATATAACTGGAATCAGCTCCTATATTTGTAAAGATGAAATAGTGATGCTCTGAAACCTTGGCTGCCTTAGTTTCCTGACAGACGTATTTTTGTTACAATTACATACAATCATTTTTAGGGCACTAAAAACTTATTTCCTATTTTATAAATGTAAACAATGTGACTAGTGTGTTTTTACAGCTGTTTAGTTTTTACAATTAAAATTTATCTTTCTGAAAGACAATGAAGAAAGATCTTAAAATGACCTAGAAAACTATGTATATGCTCATTTATATGCATCAATCACATTAACAGGTCCTAGTCTTCACTCTATTCCTGTATACATAAGTAATTAAAAAAAACACTTCATGTTAATCAAACTGGCTGAATTCTAAAACAAAACATAATGCACATATCTTCATTTATTTTGTCTTCAACAAGTAAATTCAGGAGGCACTTTTTTACCTTTGCTTTAGTCGTCTCTTGGCTGTTGTAGGAACATTAGCACCATACCCGTATGAGAAGAGAACCCTTTCAGCTTCAACTTCATTTTCCACTGCAAAAAATTGCAAAAAGGTACTGTTGAAGAACATAATTACAATGCAAGAACTTACAAACTTCTAAGAAATTCTATTTATAATTATACACATGCACAAACATTTTTCTAGAAGTAAGACTTTCAGTTGGTCTAATCTTCTGGACTTGAGTGGAATAATTTTGTTCACAATTAGCATTAACACCATGCCATGCGTTAATTTCCTACAACACTGGCAGGCTTTTATCTTTTTATTTTTCTGATTAACATAAGACTTACACAATACGAAAGTAAAGAAAAAGAGTTCAGTGTCCTTGAATACTCATATTATTGGTATAGTCACAATATACACACCAATAGTGTAAGTTTGATTCAGCAGTGGCAGGTTAGGTTGCTTCAGGTTTTTTTTCTAAAGAATTCATTTTCTGTGCACATGAGGAAGTACAGAAAGATAAAATTAGGGAGTGCTTAAGCTGACTGAGCAGAAACAAGTCCATGAGACCAGAAGGGACACATCCGAGGTTGCTGAGGGAGCTGATGTCACTGTGGGGCTGCTCACTATCATTTTTGAAAGACTGTGGCAATCAGAAATTTCTCATAACCTGAGGAAAACAAATGCCATACCTATCTTCAGAAAAGGGCAAGAAGAAGATTCTTATGTTTATGGAAAGTAAAAATATTCAAAATAATCTCTGCCTCCATAGATGACTGATTTCTGAAAACATATTTCTAAGGATTTAAAACACATTGGAAATTTAAATTGAAAAGAAATCCCAATAACAGCAAGATTAAAACATGTACAGATTTTAATATTTCAGCTTGTGTAATTCAGGTTTCCTCTCTCCTGTAAGACAAAGTGGGCCAGAAAAAAAAAAAAAAAAAGAAAGAAAGAAAAAAAGAAGTGTGTGTGTAGGAGGTAGGCAGGGGCAGAGAGGGGGACGTAGAGAAGGGGTAGAGGGGGACAAAGAGAAAGTGAGAGCAGCAGGGGTGTGAGAGAGGGAGGGAGCATAAATGAACACCAGCCCAGGCACCACAAAACAGCTTTGATGAGTCAAGTACTTGGGAACAGGAAAAACAAATTTAGGAAATGACATGACAGTCCTATCTGACTCACCTTTCCTAATGTTCAAGTGCCTCAAAATCAGAAATACCTTCTCTGAACAACCTGCACAATGCTATAGCTTCCTTCCTCCCTTGCCTAATACCCTTTTAATGCTATTTTGAAAAGGATTCTTAAAACACATTTAGAGAGAGAAAAGCATCTAGTAGAGCACTTGTGACAAGTCACCTATCTAGTTACATGAAAAACAATACAGAAATTCCAGTAAGTATGACAGCAAAAGGTTACTGGTGTAGCAGTACAAAGGCACCAGAACTTAAGATTTTCAAGGCTGTCTTGGTTATGATGGGGAATTCTCTAGTACCTTAAATATCTGTGGTTCAGAAAAAAACCCAAAAAATAATTTAACCTGCCTTTGTCATAATCCTTCTTTTTGGTTACAAATTCAGTGTTGTATGTCTCAGAAAAATGTCAGTAGGATCCAGCCCTATAAATTCCTAAGTAGTGTCCATATAAGTGTCAGATCATGAAGACAAACACAAAAAAAAATTGGAAATGTTGTACATATCAAGCCGAAGTAATGTTCTGTATCAGTGTGTGTTTCCCTTATCTTCTTTTATGTCCTTCCAGGTTCTTCACCTGACTGTGGTGTAAAATATACATTTTACAATTTAGGGGACACTTATTAACAAGAGTTTTTTACACCACTTAACAGAAAAAAGTGCCATTGTGAGGATATATATAGGTTCAACATTTTTCTTAAAAAAGATACTAATCTATGGAAGCAAGAAAAAGCCAACAACTAGTCTACAACAAAAATACCCCAAAGTGAAGCTATTACCCTGAAAAGGAAGAATAGACAAATGCCAAGAAAGTTTACTATTGTTATTCTTGTGGAAACCACTCAGGTGCAGTAAGGAGTGACTACATAAATTCTTGATAGTTTCCTGAATAGGCTGTTTAATGTTATTTCAATATTAATAAAGCAAGGCATTATGAGGGAATAACAGTTACAATTCAATGATCTGTTCCACAAGCACATTCTCCAAAGAAAAAATTAAAAGCTTATATATGACAAAAGCCACCTCACGTGCAAATACAGTTTATTAAAAAGTCTAGAGAATCCAACCACCACCAGTACTCCCAAATATTGTAAAATAGAAGAGGCTTCATAACTCAAGGAAGAGAAAAAATATTACATGATATTGAAATATAAATAAGTGACCACAGGACTGAAAAGTAAAATTGCATTCTCATGGAAGTCTATAGAAAATTCTGTCTTCCACACAATGCTTCAGCCTAAATGATATTCTCTGAAGGATAGACTGGACTATTTCCAGAACACACTGAATTTGAAAAATAATTGTATTTCCTTTGTTTCAACTAAATTTCTACCCATTTTTCTACCAGCTATTTATGACATGCATATACCAGGACATAATTTGAGACACAGGAGGAAGTATGTCTGTGTTCTCCTTTGAAGTGTTTTTTAATAAGAAATACTTTTTCCTCTGATTTTCCTCAGAAGTTCACCTTGGTCCTGGAATTCAGTCTTAATTAGTATTAATCCTAACTTTCAATATCAAATACACTATAATAATAGTAAGAAAACCCAATGTTAATTACTAAATAGAGATTATATTGAAATAATACTGAAGTATATTATTCTATACTTATTATTATTATTGATCTATATTATTCTATATCTACTATACATATGTAGAAAGTTTTACTGCCATCCCAAAATGCATAAAAAAATGTAAATCAGTGTAAATAAAAACCAGCATTCTGAACTCTATCTTTCCCTTGGAAAAAATGAAGGTAAGGTACAAAAATTCTGTATTAATACATAAATACTCCTTAGGCAAGTTTTTATATATATATATATATATATATATATATGTACATTTGAAAAAAAACCATGTTACCGACTAAAACATAAGCATGTTTATAGCAAATGTGCTCATGGTCAGACTGGAACCTTTGGGTAGTTATGCCATTCTAACAAGTACAATCTGCAATGTATACAATTAATAAAGTACGTCCAGTCTAATTACTAAAGATATCCAGACACCACTGCATCCCAGTAATACATACTTTTTTCTACATTATTGTTATGTAAAGCTTATGCAACAACCTTCTACCTCAAAAACATTATTTATAAATTTTGATTATTCTTTGGAGTAGCAATTAAAAAGAAAATGCCAAGAAGACACAATAATTAGTTTGAAAGCTTGAAATGTCCTGCTCTGTTTACATACAGGCTGAAAGACTTCAAGGTTAGAGTCTTGTTTTCAAATTAAAAATTATTTGCTTTATGGATTCATTTAAGCTAAGAATCAAATCAATAGAGATTTCACAGAAATTTTGCTGTGTTTGAGATCAGATATTGTTATTTTTGACAAACAGAGACAAAAATTTTCAAGAGTAATCAGGCCTGACTTTAATCCAGGGTTTAATACTTGGAACAGACTGATCTGCCACAAGCAACTACTTAATATCTACTTATTATTAATTCAACACAAGGAAGAGCTTTCCCCCCCTCAATTTATTCAAAAATTCACATTAATCACTGTACTGTATTATGAAACCTATAATTGTCTGTCAACAAAGAGGGTTTCCTGGTATTTAAAATATGCTTAAATAGTAGGAGAATCCTAAAAAAATGTGTCTAATTATAGTGGATGACTAGAATAAGGAAAAGAGAAATGAGGGAAAAAAGAAACACTGATATGATTTTTAATATCCATATAAGTTCATGCTTATTTGATATTTATTTACAAATACACTTAGAAACCTGTCATTAATATTTTCTATCATAATAATTATTGCATCTTAATTATCAGGCATAAGGAGAGAGAATGAGAGGTACTGTAATACTTTTCAAGTGCCATGAGAAACAAGACATCTTGTCATAATGCCAGAAACACCTACAGTTACAATATCATTTGTGACAGAACTTACTTTCTGCAGTCTGCAATATTATCTCATCAAGCTCTTTTTCAAGTTTTTCATAAGTATCTAGCCTTGCTTGAAACTCAGAATTCTGTGTTTGAAGTTCAATAATACGTGTTTCACTAGAAGACTGAAGACTATAAAATTCCTTAGTAAGCACCTGTGAGAGTGAATAACAGAAAGATGAGGGATTCAGCATTATAGCTTTTTATGAATGAGGCAAAATATAATACATGAAAAATGCTTAGTAGTATGATGCTAAATATTTGATGTAACTTTTGCACAGAAAAGATTAAAATACTTTAAAACACAGGGGTTTTTTTCAAGTGTATTTTCTTGCACAGATTACACTCTCAGGTCATATCACCTACGCCCATCTCCTAAGGCACGGTAATTCTAAGAGTTTCTCTCTGAAAAAGATACAGGAATTTTAAAGGGGAGTTAGGAAAAGCATGGTAACAGCTAAAAAATTATTACGTAGCAGTCAAACCAGGTAAATGCATTTATTTTTGTTGCTTTAACTGGATTCAGATTTCAGCTATCAATTTAAAAAGAAGATTCTTTTAAAGAATGGTAAATGTTTGAATATAAAAATTTGATATTTAAAACATATCAGATTCTTATTATTTACTTATTACTGAAAGGTAATATGCTATTATTATTCAGGACTAATGTAAATACTTAATCCACAAAGTTTAAACAAAAAAGCACATATTCAGAAGTAAAAGTTATGAAGGTCCGTGTAAGAATTAAAGATTGATATTGTACCTGAAAATAGAAAACAACATTAAATATTATAAAACCAACTGGAGGAAGCAAATTTTTGGTAAGTAATCTACAACCTTCACAGAAAAAGATCTGACCAAAACAAGTAAAGTAATAACCAAGTAGTACTGCAGCTAAGTTTAATACTAACTTCCCAAATAAAAATCCCAAACATTCAAGGTCACAATGGAATATAGATCTTAAGATACCAAAATTTATGCACAGTGGATACAGCAGTAATTCCAAATTCACTGTCAAAAACACAAAAGAAAGCACAATGCTTAGAGAAGCAAGCCACCTGAATATAAAAAGATTGGTCTAGTGTCACAGAAGCATAAATGTATAGGTTACAATTTGGCAATATATAAACCCTCTGTTTTCTCATTTTAGCATGCATAACAGAAACTGTGCTGAAATTCAAATCAAAACAAGAGTTGGTTCACAAAGCAGCTGTAGCTGAGCCTCAAGATATTAGTGATTATACTATTCATTAAGATCAAAATCATGTAAGAAGGGTAAGAAAAAACTCAGTACATTGATACTATATATAAGAAAGGAAATTAAAAAATAAGAATTCAGTAGAAAGGAACAAAAGTAAAAGCTTCAGACATCAAATATTTAAATTCTGCAAGAACATTTCTTAATGCCAGAGTACTGGTTTTGAAGTGTTCCCTCTCTTTAGAGGGAAAAGGAAGTTCCAAAAGTGTTAGCAGAATTGAATGGCAAATATTCAAGATGTTACCGGATCAACCAAATATTCACAAAGAAAATGGAAATACAACTCAAATTTAACTATCTTCTCAAGGTTTAGACGTGTCCGTGCAACTAAAAATCTGTTTAGCAACCTCAAAGTCTAGTGAAACTGGTACTACCAGTGCTCGTGACAACAACTAGCCTCATTAGCTAGGATCTGAATGTCCCAATACAGACAGAACAAGAAATTACATTTTATCTAAAACTCTAATTCTGCTTCCACTCTATAGTTCCTTTTCGTAAACACCTTAGGCGGGTCCAGCACCAGAAATGCAGGGACTTGAAGAACAGCATCCTTCCCCAAAACAATAGAGCTGCCATATCTGGCACTTGGAAAAAAGCTTTTATACTATCCTGTCCTGTTTGTATCCTGACATTTGTTTTAGACATACACTGCAAATCGCACTTAAATCTCGCAAATTTGACTCAGTGATATGATTTTGGGACTAAGTTTGCACAGGTGAAGAAATTTTGTTTTAATACAAGTTTGCTCCCCTGAATACTCGACACATTTCCAATACCGAAATAAGCGAACAGGATATGATACGTTTTCGAAAGTACACGTTTGAAAGATAATAAATTTGAAGCTTGTATAGACAAATGGGTCCAAGTAATTCAACTCTATGTAAATAGGTTCATTCAGTGCGGGTGCCCGGGTGCAGGCATGGTGGGGGCTGTGGGGCAGCCCCTGTGAGGGGAGGGGACACAGCTGGTTCCAGCTCCAACCCACCCACCGCAGGGCACGGCTCGGCCCCTCCACCGGGGTGGGGGCACCTCAGGGGAAAACATATTTAAGAAAGGGCAAAAATGCTGCATGGAAGTAAGGAGTGAGGGAAAAAACTGTGAGAAACAGCCTTAATGCAGACACCAAGGTGAGAGGAGGAGGTGCTCCAGGTGCCAGAACAGAGATTCCCTTGCAGCCTGTGAAGAAGACCATGGTGAAGCAGGTTGTCCTTCTGCTGACCATGAAAGACCACACCAGACCAGATATCCACACTGCAGCCCATGGAGGACCCCATACTGGAGCAGGTGGACATGCCCTGAAGGAACTGCAACCTGTGGAGAGCCCAAGTAGAAGCAGATTTTCTCCTGAAGGAAGATGCAGCCCATGGAGGATCCACAATGGAGCAGAGTAAAGTATGAGGAGGAATGAACAGCAGAGAAGAGTTGATCTGGACTGACTGCAACCCCCATTCCCCACCCCTCCCTGTACTGCTCGGGGAGGGGGAGGTAGAGGAGTCAGAAATGAAGGAGGGAAGTTAAACCCAGAAGAGAAAGGGGTGGGGAAAGATGCTTTAGCTTATGTCTTTGTTTCACAACATCCAAATCTATTTCAGCTGTTAATAAGGAAAATTAATTTTCCCCAGATCAAGTCTGTTTTGCCCATGATGGCAACTGTTAAGTGATCTCTCTATCTTTATAACAACCCATGAGCTTTTTCATCTTATTTACCACCCACCCCCAATCTTCCTGGAAAGGGGGAGTGAGAGAGTGGCTGGGTGGGTGTCTGGCAGCTGGCCAGTGTCAACCAACCACGACAGGATTAGCAGTGTTAGGTTTTTCCAATGCTATATACATCATGCTCTCCTTAATTCCTTTAGCTGTAAAAATTTATTCCAGAATTGTGTATCAATAAGAAGTATTTTTATTATGTAACAATGCTATTACAAATCCTAGTTTTTAATAATGATATTGAATTGACCATAATTGTTCTGGTCTTCTTTCCCTGCAGTAATCACATATACTGATATAAGCAGCTTTGTGATACAAGCATATATATACCTCACATGAATTAGGTACTGTCTTCAACATCTCCCCATAAGAGATTATCTTGCCTTCTTCCACTCCTCTAAGTCTTGTTTTCCACTGAACTGGTCAAACTTAGTAAGCTTTGTCATTGGATTCTGCTTCAGCAGAATTTGGTGGAGATACTAATTCAGCCATGTATGTTCTTTGTTATTTTTCCCCCAAGCTTTTCCATTTTACATTCTAATTGAAAACAACTACGTAACAATGTAACGCCCCCTAAAGTGTCTCTTTATATAACATACCTCCAGCTTTCTCTGATATTTCTCACATTCCATTTGGCATTGTGAAAGATTCTTAGCTGTTTCTTGTTGCATAAGTTGAACATGTTCACTTTCAAAGGACTTTAACTTACTTTGGTGAAGAAGTTCAGCTACTTTACTTTCTGTGCCAAGCTGCATTTGTCTATACCTAAAAGAAAAAAAAAAAAAAAAGAAAAAAGTTTTGATGATTTAAAAATAAACAGAATACATGCTAATTCTGTTCATTATAGGTATCAATTTCAGAAATGAATAGAGTATTTCTCGGAGTTCAATAAGTATTAGTATGATTATCTATGCAACTATTGTAACCTGTATTTGAAGTGTCTTCAGTAAAATTCAATGCTATAATGATAACAAAACACAGTATATGGAAAACTCAGTCCATGGATTTTCTGAAAATGTGGTTAATGTACAATCAAATGACAATGACCTTACAATATGCCTTATTTTTTTTAAATGTTAGATCAATGTGAATCTCCTTCTCAGTACACGTCCTGTGTATCGACACTGAAGACAGTGAAGTCTTTTGTTGGAAGAGATAGTATGGAGATGTTGTCTTCTGTTTTCACCACCACATCACATGTGATAGGGAGAAGTGGTATTAGACATCAGTGATACCAATGGCACACCCCTCGGGATAGTGTGAATATCAGCTACAATGCTTTTTCCAATACCCAAAGATATGAAGAAATGTCAGACTACAGTGGTGTATTAATTTCCACAGTCATTCAGAACCACAGGTCCTTCTGAAAAAGCAGAAATTAAGCATATTTTTGAGAATATCACTATAAGGCAATTATAGGTGACAGATAAATAATATTGCACTTAGAAGTAGACTTCATTCATTCTATTCATACTTAACAGGCAATCTCAAAAAAGAGGGGTAAAAAACTTTGCTGATAGAATACTAAACTACTGGAATGTAGAAAATGAGGGTGATATGAAGAACAGTAGAAAACCTTATGAATCTTAGCATTAAATAACAAGTGAAATTCAAAGGAGATCTATAGAAAGTAAATCACAGGTTGTAAAAATGATATTAACCATATACATAAAATAATGAACCCCTAGCTGACTATTTTCATTCACAAGTGAGATCTTGGGGTTATACTAGATAAATCAATGAAAACTTTGGCTCAGCTTTAAATAATGGTCAAACCTGACATTTTGGGAATTACTGTGAAAGCAATAGAGAAAATACAGAAATCACCATGTCACTTTACAATTCCATGCTGCTGCCAGTACACCGAGTGCTGACTACTGTTCTAGTATCTCACTTTACAAGGGATACAACAGAACTGGTAAAGCATCAGAGAAGGGTAATAAGGATTACCTCTGACAACCAGCAACATTGTGCATTTATACAGTTGCACTGTGTGGAAGAAATTATTTAATCAAGCTAGGACTCTACAGCTTCGCAAAGAAATGGTATAAGGAAGAGGAAGAAACAAGAGAGGCCTCTAACATGAGTGGCACGGAGAATGAGAAAAGGAATCAACTGTATTTTCCAACAGATAAATGAGAAGGCATCTATAAATCATCAGACACAGAATGAAAACAAGTAGAAGTCATTCTTCACACATGAAAGTTGTGAAATTCCTTACCATAAGATGCTTTGGATGGTAAAACTAAACTTACTTGAGACTATCAAACTCAGTATCAAACAGCAGAGAAATCCTTTGACAAGAATTAATTGCAACATGGTACTTTTCACACAGAAATCACTTAACAACAAATTGTTAGAATGCCAGATAAACCTTTACTCTAACCCAGCATGGCTGTTATGTTAGCTGTCATTTGTCAAATTGCAGTTGTAACACAATTCCATCCTATTTAGCACCTGATCTTTAGGGGGGATTGAGAGTGTTTAACAAAAACAAGGGGATTACTTCAAATATTTTCCCCTAGGATTTCAGATGTAGGAATGTTTCTAAGACACAAAGAGGAAGCAATTTCCACTGGAATTAACTTGAACAGAACAAACAGGTGTCATTATGATGCCTTTTATAATCACTCTGTAGACTCCCGTGTATGAGTAAACAGTCCACTGCATGAATTAGACTGTTCCCACACAGGCTGCATGAGGACAGATTGGAACTTCTGCCTACTAAGCTCATGAAAAGGCCATTCTTTTTAAAACAATTTTCTTTTTCAATAGTATGACAGTTCTGAAACAGTTACAGCACTCAAACTGCTAAAATGACAATTATCTATCTGGTTATTCACTGCTGCTGTCAATTTTGCTCGAGGATTGCTTTTCAAGTGCTGATACTCTAAGGATTTCATCACTGTTCCCTGACTGTATGTTCCTATTCTCATTTTACCAAACAAAAATAGTTTCAGCACTCACATTCTCCACACTTTGTACATGATTGGCTGCAGACATGACACTAAATCTGTTTTGCTGTACACATTGTTTACAATCCTGGGAAGACTGTTTTGTTCCCAAATGAGTAAGTCTTCACAATGATACATGTCATCCAACCAACTGATGTGCAACGCAACACAAAAATGAAATTTATCTACAAGTCATAGTTATTGACTTTCAACAATGAATTCATATCTTCTGCCTTTACACAAAGTAAATGGCAATGCATTCTTGTACACAACTTCAGACCTTAAATTAGGCTGAAGTTCAATGATCTGTTCTGTACAGAACTTACACACTGGGAACATACATAACCATAGGCTATGCATACTTTTCTGTACCTACTTTCTATACTTTCCTGAGAAGTCTGTAGTTCTCTGATGGTTTTATAAGTCTACTCAATCAGCTAGGTGCTTTCAGAGCATGCTTATCAATGCAAACATGAACAGTAACTTCAGAAAAAACTTTGTTTTGTACTTTATTTTGGAAACTTGAACTAGCTAACATGTACATGATCTGTTTTGTACTGGTAAGGTTACAAAGGGTCAGTTTCCTTTTGACCTTACTGAACTGTTGAGCTCACTAGTAACTCCTCCACTGTAGCTCCAGAGTTTCTTTGCAATATTTGCTTTTACTTGGCCAGATAGTATCTCTGCTTTCTTGGCTACTATTTCAGCACAAGTGTGTGTGCATGTGTGTACAGAGTCATGTAATACAATGTCAAAATACATTCCTTAAACTGCCTAAATGGTCTCTAAGGGAAAACAAAAGAGACTAAAACCACCCTATGCTTTGATATTAGTATTATGGAAAAAAATGGTGGAATGTGGGTGTGCAGGATTTTTCTCCATCAAGAAATTTTACCAAACTTGATATAGTGAAAGAGTAGAGGTTTTTGTCTCACAGAAGAATGAGGGTTGGGAATGAAAGCGAAATTACAGATTGAGGTAATGAAAAATACGGACAAAATCCGACATGTAAGAACCATCTGGAATGAGGGCTCAACTTCATTACGTCTCTGTGCCATTTGGATGACCAGTCAATAATGCCTGAAGTCTGCTAAAGCAGAGTGACACAATGGTTATCAAAAAGGTTATTTCTAGAGTAAAGTTGAAGACAGAATATTCAGAGAGGGACTATAACTCTGGTTTGTAAGAATGGTTTTAAGATTTTTTCAGAGGAGTCTGTTTTTGTAAGTGGTGGATAACGATATAACAACTTTTCAAAATCTGCACATAATGAGTAAATTGGAAGATTTCATGATAAAATATAGTCTGTATACTGAAGAAAGTATGGCAGCACATTGTTTTCTGAATGTAGGAACTACAAAACACACCCAGCACGGCCTAATCTAGTAGTGATATTCAAAGATTTCTACCATGTATGTCTGTAATCTCACTTAACATTTACAACTTCTTATAAGCATCCCATGAGTACTGAGATAGCAACTCTAATCTGTTTTTACCTAACAGAAAGACTCTCTTTTTTACCACTGTCTATCCCATTGACAAAACCCAAGATGTACAGCAGCACTTCTCAAAAGTGAAATTGAACAATGAAGTACATTAGAAGAGAATACATTTGTAAAATTAAGCATTCAAGAAGCAGCAAATCCTAGTATTATGCTTGTTAATAGGAAAGAATGCCAAGCAAGTAAATTAAAATAATACATCTTCCAAAGAGATTCCTATCAAAATTATTCAAAACACCAACACTTTCTAATTTTGGAAATTTGATTATACCAGTCCAAAGCTTTTCAGGATATATTTTAGACATTATTTTTAAGTTTAAAAATGGAAAAAAAACCCTGCAAGTTGTGCAATCATCCTGATTCCACAGATGGGTCAGTTCCAGATCTAAGATCTTTAGACTAACTAAAATATACTCTCCTATTTGTACAAATGTCTGTGCCTTGGTTCAGTGCCAAATTTGCAGAGAAACCTAAATGCCATAGGCATTTCCTCCCTAAGCTGTCCTATTGCAAACGTCCCACTTCCAGCCCCAACATGTCCTCTAGTGTTCCTGCCCTCCTTCCTCTCTGTCCCAGCATCAGCCCAGATTTCTCCTGATTTCCAGTTCTATTTTCATTCTTTCTACCTGGGGCATCTGTTTTTCTTTTCACCTGTGTTCCTAGCCTATTCAGCTTCCATTCCGATCTTATAGCCCGGCTCTGCATCTGCTGATTTTCTTTCTCTCTATTCTTCTATCACCCTCGTAGTCAGGCATCGTTCCTCAAATCCTCCCCATGCTTCTTTCAATATGAGGTCCAAATCCCAGTTTAACTTTCTCACCTTTTGCAACTGTGTCTGGCTGTTAAGGCTTCCTCACTCCCAAAGAGCCCAAAGCTAAGTACAAAAGTACAGAACAGAGTTTTCCTTGCTCTTCACTGTGCCACTTGGAGTCACAAAAGGAGTAACAGCAGTCTAGACAGGCCTAAATTGAATTCAGTCATGTTACAGACTGCACATACGCTGTCCATACATATATCAAACTGTGAGACTCCAGTTCAAACATAGGCACTCAAAGGATCTTGTTTTCACTGGTTCTTTTTTTGATCCTTGGTATTAAAGCCTGGTTGTCTTGTTTCTGAGCAATCAAAAATTTCCCATGAATTGAGTTCACACGCTACCCCCTAAGTAACTGAAAATGTAGGAACTCTGATCCTTAGTTTCAAATGCTTTCATTGCTTAGCTTCTGAAGCACTGAACATAATTCTGATGCATCATGTATCTGGCGGGTTTCACAAACTGAAAGTCTGTTTTAATATTTACTATAAAATG